ATCCGAGGATAAACATACAAGTGGCTGAGTGAGTAATAAATCAAGCGGCGGAAGCAGCGAAATCGGTATTTTTTCATTCTGTTCCGGAAGCGACTTCCACAGCGAGCGTGTGTAGAACGAAGACGAGAGACGGAAAACCTAAGGCTGATTCCCGTCGTCCGTCGCTGGCGTTTCCGTGTTTTATATGCGGGACATAGTGCTCACGTTGCCGGGAGGCACGTTCTGATACAGGAATCCAATTTTGCGCACTCACGTCATTGTCGCGTCAAAAAGTAGCGAAGTAAGAGAATGCCACACAGAGCGGCATGGACGGCCGGGAGAAGTCCCATCGAAACGCTAACATGACTCCCGCCCACCAAACTATTCTGTATCATTCGGTCCAGCCTCCGAGGTCACTTGTCACTGAAGTGTAAATTGCAATGAAGTTCATCTATAGAGAGGAATACGACGAACGACGCCACGACTGAGTAGCCTCGGCTTCTCTTATTCCGCGAACGTTCCGCCAAAGCAGGATGTTGGGTCCGACGGGGCTCCTGTGATGGCCTCGAGTTTATCTTCTCGTGAAGTCCGGGACCGCGCGACGCGAACGAGAGCTCATTGAGGAATTTCGCTTGTTCGCTCCCTGCCCGGGAACGGGAAAGACGGATTCCGAGCGGCAGTCTTCTCCTCAAAGACATTCATGCGAGCCTTAATGGGAATAGTACACACTCCTATGAGGCAAGACCGAGCATAGGAGGGCTCTTCGGAGCGTTGACTCATTTTTCTCTCACCCGAATCCCATTCCCTCAACCCTAAAGTCTTCCGCTTAGTCTGGGGCCTCGAGACCTGGCAGAGTGCGGCGGGAGTTGGCAAAAGGGATCTGTGATTTTCACTGTGCGTTCCTCAGAGAGCCAAGCATGCCCTTACCTCCTGAGACATGGGACTGACGGCGCCGGTGCACGCCGCAGAACTGACGTACCTTCGGATTCGTTTCTGGAGGCTCGAAACAACGGAGAGAATCGTCGGCATCTTTGGGCTCCGAAACCCTCCGGAGAGCAACAAAGCGAGGTCACGTCGCTGCACGAAACATCTGATTAGAAAACGTCGACGATTTCCAAGGAGGGGGGGAGGGGCGGAGTTTGTACAGCTCCTAGAACCCGCGACGGCTCGAGGCTCCCCTCGCTGTGTGATTTCGAATGGAGCAATACGATTAGAAATGCGCAAGCAGCGGTGGGGAGCCCTCTAGATGCAAACGAGGGACGTAACGCGGCCTCGAGTGAACAAATAAACCGCTTGAGCAAATGCTCCGAATTCCCACTTAGCGGAGTTCGACGTCACTCGCAACAGTCACATTGAATTATTGCGAGGAATCCGCTGCCACAGTTTTTGCTGTTTCGAGCGTTCCATCGTTTCCTCGGTGTCTGTATTGACTCCGGAAGCAGCTGATTGCTTGGCCGAATCGTTCGCTCACCTCTGCCAGCTCAGCCTTCCTTACATTCGAACGCGTAGGAGACGAGGCTCCAAAGAAAACGTGTCTCCCACCGCTGATCCATGGTCGGGTCGGAACGACCAGCATTCTGTGCCCCTGGAGTTCCACGATTAGTGCGACTCGGAATTCAAATCCTTCTATGCTCGATGGAATCATTGGATAGATTGGATGGAGAAGATCATCGGATCGTTCACATCTCGCCCCATCTCACCCCATTTCATGCCAAGCAGGATCGTCCCCGCATTGTTCCTCCGCAGGTCAACGAGTCCTACGAAGAGCTCAAATTGGTTAAGCTGCGATAGTAATAATCAATGCCCCTACCCTTCCCCCTTATGAACCAGTGGCTGGAATCGAGCGATCGCATGGATGGACACGATCCAGAGGATTGCGGGAAGCCTCTCGACTGAAACCCTGGTACAAAAATTGAAGAAGTTTTCCGCGGATATTGAGAATTTCCTATCGAAGCTCCGAAGGAACAGTAACCACGAGCTCCAATTGCTTGGCTTCAAATCGGCGCAGAATGGGAGCAGTCAGGAAGCTCGATTCGGATCAGAGATACACAATATACACAAAATACACGGAATGAAAGTATATGACTGGCCCATCAACGAGCGCAGCCTCGTTAGGGGTCACATTGGGCAGAACCGCCCGCTACAAGTCGAGCCTTATTGCGTTGGACTTCAAGCCGAATCCTCTGACCTCCTGTGACTTCTCGCCCATTGTTCTCATCTTCTATTCAACCCCTTCCGGTTCGCAGCAGATCTTCAACTTCGTCGGCATTGGTCGAGATGATTCCGATGACCAATGCCAGGAATTCGCCCCAACTTATAATGAGTCCAAGTACGGATGCTCTGCGAATCGAGGACATCCCTGGGGTCCTTTCCCGGGTGTGGGTCCGGTTGCTCTCGGCTGCGACACATCGGCTCGATTGTGATATGATTTCGACGATCGACGCGGCCATCAGGTTGTTGGCGACACGCCGGCAGAAAAATCAAATTCCAACGTGAATCGCGAGCTCAGGGAGACCCTGTCTGATCCGCCTCTTGAACGCCTGAGGTATCCCGAAACTTCCTGGAGAAGAATAATCGAACTTTACAGTCAAGGGCAGGCGAGTCCCCGCCACAAACGACGTCATTGGCACTTCAGATGGGGTCGCCGACGAGCGGAGGCAATTCGGCCGAGGAGCTGGGTGGCGTGACCCGCAAAGAAACTGTGACAAGAGCGAAACTGTCGGGGCGAGAATTTCGAATACCCCACGTGAGCCTGATCCAGAGATTTCGGAAAAGCTCTTCCGCCGCGACACATCATCGCTCCTCATCGAGGAAACCTGGCCAGGACCCTCTGTATCCGAATCCTCGACATAAAAGGAAAAAGTAGCTCCCGGTCGCGTCTCGCCGAACGCCTCGATTCTGCGCGATGAGGAGCGAGAGAAATCGTTCTTTCACCCTAAATAAACCTCCCGTTTGTCCTGATCACAGTTCAGCCGTGCGCCTCCGGTTCGCTTTTTCTGCCTGCCTGCCTTCCACCACCAGTTACCTCCTTCTGCTTCGCTTGTTCCCTCCTGACCTCGCTACAGCTGTTTCCCATGACCGTCTTCTAAGGTGGAGCGCGCCTGGAGATTCTTGACAACTCGGTCCCCGGCCAGAAGGGGAGGAGCTTGGAGAAACGATCTGTGTGAGGAAAAACGCGATGGCTGGAGGAAGCTCATTCGAGCATGCTTGATAAAATAGGTATGGTGAGTGAACACGAGAAAGATATCAAGGGAACCATTCTAGATTAGAGTCGTGGAGGTTTCTCGTTGTTGGGGCAGTCTTCGAGCCCTCGTCGGTCCGGAAACTGGCGTGTTTATTCGTTCGCTGGTTTTTTTTCCGGCTTTTCGCAAACAGACAATTTCCGGACTACGCTCCGCTCCCACCACATCGTTAATGAAGACGACGCGACGTGTTGACTTGATAACAGAGTCCTCTACAGAGAACATTCGATGACTCGTAGCTTCCAGTCCCGATCCACAACTCTGCGGGAAAACGACTAGCGACAGTTTAGCAAGCTAGCGCTGCGGACCACTCATCGCCTCTGCTGTTTTGTCGGCCAATCCGGCACTGCGCGACTGTAACCAAAAAAGTCGACGGTCCCAGGAGCGCCCCGATCTGTTTGAGGACGCTCGCTCCGACGGCACGGAGCAGCACCAATGCGTCCGAGACTATCCCTACGAGTATGCCTCGATTTTCTGGCGGAATGTATTCGGTTTCAGGGGCATCCGCCTGAGAAAATTCTGCTCCTCTGGCGGGTGCCGGTCCCCAATAGTCTGATCCCGAATTCGCATCACTCCTGAGTTTCGAAAGTCGGCAATCGGAGGAACACAGCTCGAACGATGACTCGATGTCGATGGTACAAGAATGAGATTCATACCAAGGTTCCACGGTATATTTTCCGGCTGAAAAGACGCTATGATCGAGTATCGAAAGAGATCTTGCCGAGCCGACTTCACCTTGTTCTGAGCCGCGGGTCCGGATTTGGCTGTTGCTTCTCTCGGTGAAGTGGATCCTGATATGCTTTTGCTATCGCCAAACGGACGTCCAATGGTGCCGGCTTCAAATCTTCGTATAACCCTGATCCCCTGCCTGCGGCCACCGTCATTTCGTCTTCCTCGGCCTTCCTCGGCCTTCCTCCAGCCACGGGAGGCATGATGAGGGCCTCGCCCCTCACGGAGCTTGCATTAGCTCTCCCTGAGGCGGGAACTCCACACATCCCTCAGCTCGTCTCACCGTGGATAGCAGAACGCCCCGCTCCATATGGCACAAGCGGAATTCATGCTTCGGTCCTCGTCCAATTTCCAGCTTCTTGGCTCCCAGAACCCGAACTCGGCCACAACACAGTACCGATCAGTGCCTCCTTTTACGGCGAAAGGTCTCCGCTTGGTTTGCCCGATTTGGTAGGAGCATGAGCCTCGCGATCCCTCATTCTCGCGGGAAGAGTCCCTCGAGGGAGAGTCACCATGGCCGCGAGAAGATTTGCTTGCTCTTCCATGATGAGAACCCGGTGTCTTAAGAGGACAAGACTACATATTGTCGACAGCGGCGAAGTTGAAATTGGAGCGATTCGAAATTCGGAGGATTTGTGAACCCGATCGGCATGCAATCGTAGATTTTCCCCGGGCTGGAAAACACAGTCAAGCCGGCCGGAGACCTGCTGATCCACTGGGAGACTTTGCGAGGGAATTTCGTGAGAGAATCTGACCCGCGATCGAACTCACGCCAACCATCGGAGTCATTCCACGGAACGGGAGCGGCCCTCCTCGAGGGATTCACGGCGTGAGTTTCATTCAGGAAGAGCGAGTCAGCACGATAAGCACTTACAGAAGCGCTAAGCTCCTCGACTACCCGTTGCTCCGATCAGCATACCCGCCACGAGAATAAATCGGAGGCGATCTGGGCGAGTTTCGAAATCGGCCGCGTCTGGGAAAGCTCGATTCTCTCTCCTTGTGTTGGGCGACTACTGCAGCGACGATCGTCCGCCGCATCTTCGAACAACTGCCGCCGCTCTCGTCAGCGGTCAGACCCAAACACAGAAACGTCTTCGGTCGCATCCCAGTTGACAGATTTCGATCACTGACATCTTGCCGGAATCTTCGGTCACGGTGAGCAGAATATTCAACGGAGTTTGTGCGCCTCTCAGAAATAGAACGAGAGCTCGTCCCTTAGAGTGAAGCCACAGGTTTCAAGCAGCGCACCGATAACAACGGCGCGCTTTCCAACCGGCGGACGTTCGGTCAACGGAACTTCCAGACGTATAGTCGTTGGCGGCGATCGTCGGGACGATGTCGCCTGTTTGGCGAATTTCTCTTGCTCGGAAAACTCCTTCGATTCTTTTCTCAACTCTAAGCTCGGTCCACATTCCACTTCTTATGTTTCTGAACACTTTCTCCGCTATGAAACTTGAGTTCCTCTCCGCTGTGTAGTGTTCTTAACGAGAAGAGCTTTCCAATTCGAGAGCTCTCAGCTGTGAACGGTGACATTTGATTAGATTTTTATCCGGAGGTAAGGGTCTCGCTCGTTCTTTCGAGTTTCCACCGAACCCTTCACAATCGCAGCCGATCCGGGGAATAAAGCCGAAGAGCTCGCTCTGGACTCCTCTGCTGTCGCGCTGTGAGTCATTGAGCTTACCACAATAATATTCATCAGTCCATATGGAATGGCAGCTCGGAAATATTTCGATCCACTATTGATGGCTCTGATTCTTCCGGTGTTGCTGCCGGAACTTAATATCAGAACAGCTTGACGCATACTGCCTCTAGCACGTCTCACATTATTCGTTTGAGCTTACACTGTTTGGCGAAAGAGCTCGGACATCAGAGGTCTCATAGAGCGATCAAACGACTGAATTTATTCTCGAATTCGGGAGCTCTCGCAAATAAACTGATTCGTTCGATATGGGCTGACCGAGAACTACGCGCATCCATAAATATCTCAACGTTTCTGGCACCCGATCGAATTGACGGGAATGGAACTCTCAGTGAGGAAGTTCTATCCGGTACCGAGTGCTGAATATTCCTCTGGCGAGTAGTTCTGCTGGGTGTCAATTTTTGTGAAAGGAAAATCGGAGAAGTGCGGAGGGAGCAAGGTCTAAGCCAGTCGTCAGGATGAATATATATCCCAGAGTTGTTCGAATCGCGATTCCTTCGAAACCGCCTCTCCGAATGCTGTGCCATCGACGAACGGTTGGGCTCAGATGATCCGTTTGTTCTTCGATGAGATATGTAAACAAATATCGTATCATTCACATTCGCCTATTGGTATGTGAGCGTACACAGGCAGTACAGCTCCGGACCCCAATAACTCCGGATGATTGCTGGCGTTGGGTCGAGCGGCCGATGCTGGGGAGCCAAACGCGCATCTCGGCCGGACAGCGCTCCGGCTGTTTATGTTAAGCGTGGGAGAACTCATCACAGAAGATATTTACATCGATCGCTCGAGCGCGATCGGCACCTCCGAGGGGTTCGGTCAGAGATGAGCGCGCTCTCTTCGGTAAATATTTCGATTGATCCGATTATCGGGGAGACGTTCTGAGGAGTTCTTCAGATTCCCCTCGGGGAAATTTCATGCATGGCCTCCGGCTCAGTGAGGAACGAGCCGCCCCATCGTATTCTCCCTCGGGACCTCGCGGAAAATATTCTCGTTTCGGAGCTTTCGCCTCCCATTTTCGAAGTTTCATTTATAGATGTTCAGTCAGCCATAAAATTCCGGGTCCGAAAGATTCTTATCCACACACAACACTTGTTGACGTTCGCCGAATGTCGGCTGGGTCGCCGGCGGCGCGGAGCTGAAATTCGGGCGAGCCTCCGTTCGGCTCGATTCTGTGTCAGCGTTAAACGTCCGATGTCGGTTCACGGGATCGGCTGTTACGAACACGAACGACGACGTGATATTTTATTCTTGACTCATTTTCGAGTTTTCGGGGCTTCCCTGAAGAGTTTCATGCTCGCTTCACGATCCTGCCTTGGGATGTTCAGGTTTGACGTATCTCGACGAAGAAATCACGGAGTTTCATCGGTGGCAAACGGAGTTTGCTGCATTCCTCCCTCAGATTTTACCGTGCTGTGAAGGCAGCGTACTGGGGGTCTTAGATGACCGCCGAGCGAGATAAATATTTTCCTGTTTCCGCGGTGCGGCGTCGACATCGCACAGCGAAACATTCCTGCTGGTTGGAGCGCTGATTCGATAGCCTAAATTAAATTGTCCGCCGAATTACCCATGCATAGTTTGGGGAACTTGCTCGTAGACCAGCTCCCGAAGCAAGCTACGTGCCAGGAGCGTTTTCTTTCTATGAATATTTCATCGAGTCCGAATAAAGGGAGCCGAGGCTCCATGAATACACGATTCTTCGACGACTCGAATTGATTTTTAATTCAACGCCAGCTCTCTGACCGCCCCTCCACTCTGAGCTCAGAAACCACTCGTAGCGCTATCTTTCGCGTCTGAGTCATTGGTGCTCTCGGACGACATGTCACTGATTTTCCTCTCTTCTACTCAGATGACGATCCAGCAGGAGATTGGCTTCGCCAAACATCTTCCCACACAGCTTCACCGGAAAGCCGCCAAGAAAGGTTTCGACTTCAACCTGATGGTAGTCGGAGAGTCTGGTCTCGGCAAGAGCACCCTAGTCAATTCGCTGTTCATGGCTGACCTCTACCCTGACAGGTGAGTGAGCCGTCGGGATTGCCAATTACGTTAATGGAGACTGTCGGCGGCGTACAATCGGAACTTACACAGCTGAACATTCAGGCGGATTCCCGACGCGCTGGATATGGGCAATGGGAATACGGTCGAAGTTGAGGCCAACACAGTTGAGATCGACGAGCACGGAGTCAAGGTGCGCCTCACTGTCATTGACACGCCCGGCTATGGTGACAGGTTGAATAACGAGAACTCGTTCGAGCCAATAATCAAGTACATCAACGACCAATACAACAGGTTAGAGTCACGAAGTCGCCACTCCTATCCACTTTGTGCGCTCCTCCATGCGGACCTCCACGCTAAGGAACAGAGTTCTATCCATTGAATGGCCTCTTCTCGATCGATCGCATCGGCTGACCGACGTCTTGATTTTCAGCTATTTGTGCAAGGAGAGTGGGATAAATCGCAAGAATATCGTTGATACGAGGGTGCATTGCGTTCTCTACTTCATTTCTTCCTTGGGAAGGGGACTCAAACCATTGGACGTCGCATTCATGAAGGCACTCCAGGACAAGGTGGGATGGATCTCGAGACTTGGGCTCATTACGAATTCCTGATTAGGCTCGTCGTCGGAGGGGCACCTTGCGCCCGATCAGTTCCGAAATTACGAAGTTTAACCGAGACTCCTTCCTCGATTCAAGGTCAACATTATCCCTCTCGTCGCCAAGGCAGACTCGCTCACAGCCAAAGAATGCGAAGCTCTCAAAGAGACAATCCGACAAAAAATCGCCGACCATGGAATCCAGTGAGTGCGCTTCGTGCGTCTTAATTTGAGCATAGGTCGGAATTTTCGCTCCTGAGCCCCCCACTGGATTAGCGTCCAGCATCGGTGGGGAGTAACGTATTCTGTTCGTTTATCTCGCTGCTGGGGGTTCGAAACGATTCCATTCGATTGCAGGATATACGACCTGATGCCAGTGGACGATGATCCGTCGTTGGAGGATCCAGAATACGTCAAGGAGATCAGTTCCCTCAGAGCGAGCTTCCCTCTGGCCGTGTGTGCCGCCCAGGATGTGCAAGAGGTGAACGGACGACAGATTCGGGCTCGGCGATACCCCTGGGGGTCCGTTGAGGTTGACAACGAAGTCCACTGTGATTTCCAGAAACTCAAGACCATCATCATCCACCACTTGGAGGACATGATCGAACGAACGGAAACGGTGAGCAGGCTCGAGACAACCTTCCCATGAGCCTTGCAGGAAACTACGCGGCTCGTCAACATGGAATTACACGACTTACCGACGTCTCATCCGAAACCTTTATCACCTTTCAGATGCATTATGAGAATTATCGGGTGCAGTGCTTGATGAACAAGGGCCTCAGACAACCGGATAAGGAAATTCTCGTGTTGCCCTCCGATGACATCCTCCAGAAGGAAAGAGAGCTCCAGGCGACCGAGAAGAAACTCCGGGAGATGGAGAAGCAAATCGAGAATATGAAGTTCGAAATGGCCAAACAAGCCTCCCGCAGCAATTTAGACTCAGCTTCGATCATCACAGCTTCCAGTGTCGAGGAAAAGGAATAATCGCTCTCATCGAAATCTCGGAAACGACTTGATCGAGTCGTTCAAGCGAAATGTGTTGCGGGAGAATTTTTGATCTAGAATCATACTCAGGCGTACGTTTAAATCACGGGGAATCTGTTACAGAGACGCCGAAATATCGTAAAAGCGTCGTTGGAATGATGTGCAGAGTTCCTTCGCGGCTTGGGAGGGAATGGGTATTTGATAATTGTTCGTCTCGCCACTAATTGTGACCCATCGTTGAGAGCGAGCTCACTGTCAATGAGTTCTCTCAACGACCCTGAAACTGGTAATTGTCGTTGAGATGTTCAAACATCGAGAGACATCGAATAAAACAAGATTTTTCGGTGAGAAATACGCCCTGAGCTTCGTGTACGAGCAACCAACCGCGCAGAAGCCTCCCGTCCGAGAATCGGGACTGAGAGCAGACTTCCTCTCATGCTCCCGCTAAGCTGCATGAATTATTATTCCTGCCTACATCAATTCGAAAACACCTCCTCGTTCGATTGAAAAGGAATTGTCTTCATTTTCATCATACAATATCTCGAACATCTTCTGCGGGAGACCAATCCCTAGTTTTCCGGGGACCTCTATAATTGTATTCGTACAGACCCGCTACTTTTTCACAATATTCAGCATACACATCACATAATCTAGAGAACTCTTGCGTGGTCAGCATAAGCGTCTGCTCTTTGGGATCGAGCTCGGCTTTCTCGAGAACATCATGCTTGATGTCGTCCAATAATGGCTGCGGGAAGAGCTTCGGTAGGTTTTGCTCAACGGTTTTTCGCTTCGCGTTGAACATGCAACGGAGAACCTTCTCAACCAGGCTGAAATCTTGATTGAAGACAGGTTTAACTCGGGGCACGAGCTTCACGACGCCGACATCTACGAGCGGTGGCGGTACGAATGAGCCGCCGACGATTGTGAAGCATTCCTCAACTTCGCAATATCCCTGGCTGATTATGCTGAGCCGACATTTCTCCATGTCGATGTCTCCCAAAGTGATCCTCGTAGAAACTTCTTTTTGGAAAGTCAGTGTCATGCGGACCCTACCGAATTGCCATGGTCCGCTCCTTTCGGATATCTGGGGAAGGCGATGTGAATTGAAAACCTTAATTACTGCCGGAGGATCGATGCGTCCTGGAAGCGATCCAAACGTCCTCTCTGGCTTGAGGGCTAACCTCTTTCAACCATTTGACGAGTAGAACTGTAGAAATTGCGAATGGGAGATTCCCGATGAGATGGATGCGTGGGGGCTTCTCCGATTCCCAAGGCCTGGCCAGCTCCGGTGGAATTTCGCTGTGTATCGGGTACGTCAGGACGTCTCCATGGATAACCTGAAGCCATAACAAGGGAGATGTGGCGAATTTCTTGCCATGCGGAAATTCGATCAACTCTAACTAGAGGGAGAAATTCGTCGAGGAGTACCTTCAGTCGACCTTCTGCTGCTTCCGCGAGGAGGTCCAGACAGGGCATGAATCTCAGATCCTTCTCGATAACACTGCAAGTAGCCCCCAGTTCCAGGATTGGTCTCGTCAGGTTGCCCGGTCCTGGTCCTACCTCAATTACGTGCGCCTTATGCAAGTTTCCTGCCGTGAGAAACATGATGATCATGAGTCCGATGCTGATTGGAAATTAATCAGCGGATATCGCCCCAAACACAGACTTTCCGCTTCCCCTCTCTCAATCCGCTATGTTTCTCTCAACAGCGGATACAGGATACTTTGAGGCTTATGACAGAGCTCCAAAGACATGTCCACGGATGAAGTTTATCTCGACAAGACACATGACCTTGCTCTCGAGGAAGAGATATGCGGCAGAGTCTCATAAGTAGCGTTTGAATTCGGTGCGAAGACATTCAGTCGTAGAGGACTCACCCGCAGATCGGATGAGCTTTCTACAGATTCTCGGGTCCAGCAGGAAGTTCTGTGACATCTGCTTTAGAGCTTTCAGTCTGTACAACCTCAGCAGTTCAGCCGGTGTCGGAAGAGGAGGTAGACGCACTTTCTTCGAGACGTTGGCGATAGCCATTACGGCAGCCATATCTTGGTCGGAGCAACGATTCACCTAATGAGAATGTCGACCTTCGTTTCAGGATATAGAACATGAATTCGAGGAGCCTTGTCGAGAATCGCGGAGTTCGATTCCGATGCGCGGATGCGAGCTACATGCTCTCTGTTTGTTTACGACCGTGAGTCGTCTGCTATGCTGAGCGGACTCCGTTTTCTTGCGCAACTCACTTCTCGCGCGCACTCCGCTGCGGAATGGAAGCTTTAGGAGTCGGGAGGAATCTGGCGCTACCAGTCGTTCAGATTCTCAATCGCCATAAGATCCTTTTCCGGGGGAATCCTATATCGTCGCGCGAGCTTTCCCGCTGTTAGGGACGTACACTCCCACCGAGAATCGAGCAAGGCGACCCGCGCGACCGTGAAGCTAAAGCAAATGTCAATCAGTCGTGATGAGGGCTACGGCCAGAAGGCATCCACGACTTGGAGGCAGAGAGCTGCTCAGCCATATTCCAGGTATACCCAAACGGTGCGGCCCCGTGGTTTCCTGATCACTGTCGATTCCCTCCGTGACGCGCAGAGATCATCATCATCAGCACCGCCTGGGCAATATTCGTCTGCAGCTGCTCTCGCGAGAAGGGAGAGTTAAGTTTTGAATACTTCATCAGGAAGCATTCCTCTGGGTTTCTCGTAGTTGCTGAGAAACGCACGCTCGAGATCTTTGCTCCTGCTCTCGCAGAAAATCTTGTGTCCAGTAGTTATGGGTGATCTCAGTGTGATAGTGTACGAAAACGGCGGGAAACTTCCCGAACAGACAGTCCTCAGCTGCATCAGGAAAGCCTTCAAGTTGGGTTTCTCAACAATTGCTCTCAACGTGATCGTGGGCGATACAGAACTCAATTCGAAAAAAGCCCTCCCGAAGCCAATCCTCTACGACATTCCTGAACAATGCGTTATGGAAGCGCGATCTCAGAATCGGAGACTCAGGGTCAGTACTTCGATCACTTGATTCGAACGAAATCCGTGCAGAATCCTCATCTATGCATCCGATGGTGCTCACAGCCTAGATCCTCCAGGGACTCACCTTCGACCTTTTTTTGAAACTATTCCTTTTGCTTACAGTTATTGTCGAGATTGTCAGGAAAAATCACTGACAACCAGCAAGCTCACAAACTACAGCATGACACCGTGTCGTCCGACTACGACATCATAGCAGCCTATCCCACGACTGACGGGTTGTTGAATTCCGTGATCGTACATGGGGGAGTCGACATTATCTATTACCCTCTACTAGAGAGATGCACCTGGCCAAAATATAGTTCTATAAGCTTCGCCACGAGCAAAGGAATTCTCTTCGAGTTGCCCTATACGACGCTGATGGCGGATCAACGGATCACCGCGTTGAAGAACATGCGCCGGCTCACACTACGAGACAAGAAAGGCTTCATCTTCTCGTCGAACGCCACAAGTCCCGACATGATCCGAGGTTTGTAGTTTCGGAAATACCCCCATACTCACTGTCCCGATGAGGCTTCAGAAGCGTTTGTCTGACTCCTTTGCCGACTTGTCGCTTGACGCTTTCGTTTTTTCCAGGTCCCCTCGATGTGAGCTTTCTGGGTCATATGCTGGACCTAAACGCGGATTTATCCCGCCGTCTGGTATGGGATGGACCAGAGGCCGTGATTGTGCACGCCGAAACGAGAGGACGCAAAGAACGAGGCAGTGTGATGACTCTCCTCGCGAGGAGCGCACCCGAAGGCGAGCGGTGGCTCGTCGAAGCTTGCCTTGATGTCGAACCGAGCTGATGAAAGTTGTCGAGAGTTTCAAATAAAAAGGTGATAAATTCAATTTAATGAAAACACTCCTCCAGCTAGCCCCGTTTTCCACGCGAGGTATTTCTCACTCTCGGAGAGAGATCTCTCTTTCTGTACGAAATGCTACAGACCCATTAGTCTCGGGACCCAGTCTCCGATTGACAGATCTCGTACGACAATTCACTTTGATGCGAAGGCCATACATAGCCTTTTATTCTGATTCTGAGGAAGAAGCAAATCGGGTATCGATTCCTGGCTCCATAGAAGCGATTCGCTACAGGAATAGAGTGATATACTCCACGGCCGTCTCATTCCAGTGAGCAAGACGAGCTTCTTCGCTTTTCTTGTCCTGCCCCCCTGAATCGCTTCCTGATCTTCTCGAGGGAGAAGTGCTCAACGACAGGTACACCGATCTCGGGTGTGCACAGGGTCGCTGAGCTGGGGAGCAGAAGCTCGACAGTCATGAGAAACGTCCTCCGGGAAGCCGCTAGAGGTTTCCAGCATCCTCGGGAGCGAGAGAGAGGCTGATTGACAGAATTCCGCGTCCCGTTCCCTGACGGGAGAGTCGTCCACGAACAAATGCTGAGGATTGCGAAGTATGTGCAAAATGAGAATTCTGGGCCTCCCTCTGGGTTCGAATGATTGAACGAGCCTTTCGTTCTCAGAGGACTGTCTCCATGCCCCGGGTCAGTTGCATCATACAGCATGGTAGCCATCATTTCTGTTGGTCCCCATTCCGTCGGCCTATTGTCCCCCCGAGCGCCCCGGGCCTCACAAGTCCCTAAACAAAGCCCGGGGGAGAAGTTTTCCATGAGAAATTTCGCGTAGCCGAGATTCCCGATGCCTATACCATGGAATTTTTCTGCCGATCCCGCTGTTCTCACAGCCCCTGAGCACTGGCACGAAGCCTGCTCGATTTGGTAGACAAAAAAAACGCAACTGTCTTCGCCATGTGGGTGTGATCTGGGAATTTATTTAGATGGGAACACTATTCAGAGCTGAATTCTCTTCGCAGTCTCGAAAGCTTCCTCGACCTTGTGGTACTGTCTGATGAAGTACTCCCCGTACCTTCGAGCGATTTTCGTATCGGCGATGTGGATCATGTCTTTGTCAATGAAGAAATCCATATCCGAACCAGTCTGGAACTCTCCGTCGAGCGAGCCTCCCCCGGTGCAGACCATGTTACTCATGAGGTGCTTGAAGCTCATCAGTTTCCTGTGGAAGTGCTTCAAAAGTTCCTGCTCAGGGATCGGTTGTCCGTCCTTCGCCATATCCAGAGGCTGAGGTAAGAACTTGGCCAACTTCTCGACCGGCATCGTAGTGTACAGCTTGAGGAAACTACGAATCGTGGGAATCTGTAGCTGGGCTTCAATTTCGCCCCGGAAAGCGTTCCATTGCTGAAGCTGGGGCTGTTTGCTCAGTTGGGCGATTTTCGGATCCATGGTCTGGAGTCCGTGCACCAGGGGGTTCACCGGACTCAGGAAGCGGGGACACCCGAAGTAGAATTGACTCTCGAACGTATCGAGATCTCCGCTCTGCATCGCTTGGAGATTGGCGGCCTGTTTGGACTTGAGCAGCTGCAGCACCGATTCGTCGATCCTCTGCGGATGGAGAGCCATGCAGATCGAGAGCAGAGCGTACATTTTGTCCATCTGCTTGTTGATCTGTTTCAGCTGGTAGCTCCTCGAGTGGAAGCTCGCTTTCGTGCGCATGATGTAAACGAGCACGTTGACGAACGTTCGGATGGCGTCCTCGTAACGACGCATCATCATGTAGGCGAAGCCCACGTAATAGTACGTGGACACTTGGCACGACGGGACTCGTGACAGACCTTTCCGGTTGAGCTCGAGATGCTGGAGGACTTTAATCGCTTGGTAGTAATCGCCGAGCTGGGAGTGGAGCCTCAGCAGGGCGATCAAGGCAAAGTAGCCAAGCATTTTGTAGAGTGGTCGGCGTCCGAACTCGCCGGCTACCTCTTCGGGATTGCCTCCCTTGGAGTAGACCTCCAGCTGCTGATTGATATTGGACTTCTGAACGAGCGAATGGAGAACGTTGAGCACCGAGTGCACGTTCCACATTTTCAATTGGCTCAGACACCGGTTCTGGTCACCGGGGCTCATCTTGTCCACGTTCGAAATGTAGACACAGTAGCTCTGGAACTGATAGACGAAGTCGTCCATGATCTCCCACAGCCATTGGTTCGGGAGCTCCAACGTCACCGGTTCGTTCGATGAGAGGATATAGTTGAAGAAGTCCACGTAGTTGTAGTAACTGTTGAATCGATCGTCGAGCAGTGGTTTGCCGTTCGCGTAGATCTGACGGTAGTAGAGCTCTTTATAAATGATGAGGAAGAGTTCGTCTTTTTCCAAAATCTGTTGCATCTCCTCGGAGTCCGGCGGAGGTAGAGGATTTTGATACTGGTCCATCAACTTGGTGAGACTGTTCTCGTAGAGATCTTGCATGCTGTTCAGATCGCCTTTGTTGATGGCGTCGCGCAGGAACGAGAGATTATTTCGCATAGCTTCTGTGAGCCGTGTGGAGCTCATCGCATTGGCCTGGTACGGATATTCATCGTATTCGCCGTAGTCGTAGACCACCGGCGCATTGTTGTCGTAGTACTCGTCTTCGTCGATATACTCCGTCATCTGAAAACGCACGTCAATCTGGGTGAGCATCGGCCGCATCGAGACTTCTGTTCGATTTCGTGCGAGTGGGACAGAATTTTATCGCTCGCGATTCCAATACGAGATGTTGGGCCTAGGGTTCCGAATCAGACAGCGGTGAAAAGAGCGAGATATGAGATCGTTTCCCTTGAATTGACCATATTGTTTGACAAGCCAAAGAGCAACTTCCCTCACTGGATCTCCAACCGCGGGAAGCTCCGATTCGGTCCGGAGGAACCGAGGGAGGAATTAAGTCTCACCTTGTGAGGGAACGGGTGACGGAATACACAGGAGAACAGGGAATTTGATTCGAATTCGAGTCGCAAGCACCGCACACGTTGTGTGTTGGGTAAGGAGAATGGTGTTCGCCCGGCGGCGACAGATTCTCGGCGAGCCGGAGCGGCATCAACAAAGCTAAAGACCTCCCGCTGCTAATGACATGTCCGAGATCGGGGTGAAAACGCCGTCGAGAATAATTCGCTGGGATGAATTACGTATCCGCGATGAGCGCAAGCGGAGATCACCGTCCGAGTCCTCACCCCGGAGGGAATGACGACAGACGACGCTGAGGGTTTTGCCTCAGCCCGAGTTCTTATCCCACGGCCCGCCGAACCAGATGGTTAGCCGCCCGAAGTCGTTCCTGCATTCTTCATGGATCTTTGAGGGAAATTCGTAATATTAAGCCAAGGGAAGCTCCCGAGCTCTTCGATTTGTAGATAAGGTCGATATGAGCGATGACTCCCTCCAAGCAAATGCGGAGACCGTCGAAGTGGACTCGGCCAGCGGTGATTTCACCGACGAAGCTGATGAGGACTCTGTACAACCGACAGTGTCCGATTTCGCCTGCGAATATTGTGGAAAGGTTTGTTGAACCTACGACAGTACCCGAGGTGGAGGCGGGAATTCGGATCAAGACACGGGAGCAAGGGATGACTTGTGTGATAAATGGATCCCTGCGACCTCTCCAGCATGATCCAGCATTTTCAAGCATATGGGGACCATATAATAGGCTGCATCGGGGAGTTTTCTCTATCGCGTCTACGCGATGCGTGCGACCCCGATTCGCAAGTTCTGAGGAAGAAAGTATAGGTTCAGTGATTTTCAGACTTTGCGGCAGAATTCAATGATGACGGAGTCGAGCCTTTCTTCTGATTCCGTCTCGTATATTCGCTCCATTTTGTGCAGACAAAGCAGTCGATTCGGCGAGGGATAGGCTGTGGAGGGATAGACGGTGGACATTCGCGCGCTTCCCAATCCAGGTCTTCTATCTTCTTCTTGGCTGTTGACCATTCGATAAACTCCACCGTTTCTATTGTGGAGGTGGATGAACCCTATACACGGATGCTGACGATTCGTAGGTGCCTACATTTCTCCTTCCGCGGCATTCTGGAAGACATAGTTCATGACCCGGACCTCCCGACGTGCGCATCAGCCGGAGGCGTCCATTCCGAGGCCCCGTGTTTTTAAAACCTGAGCCCAGGCCACAGAGCCCTGTCCTGAGATGAACGAGAACTTCAGGCTCTTCGAAGCTTCCGAACTCGCATAAATCCGCTGAAGGATCCGAGCGGCGTATTCTGACACCACAAACTCGCCAAATGTAGAAGTTTCTCGCCAGGAAGTACCTAGGAGAGCACAACCGCCTCAGCCGTCGAACGGCGAGGCGTTAAGTCTGCTCGTCCGGAATAACCTTTTTGCGATTCTGAATCAGGTCTAGACTGGGACCACGAGCGGGAAAATCACTCAAGAGGAATAATGTTCGTTCCAGCGCGTCAAGACGAAGCCAGGACTCCACAAGCATAAGAAACGATTCCACGATGCCGAGAGGCGTCAGTTGATGAAATTCCTGTGCAGCAAAGGCTGTAAGACCGGATTTCCGCATCTGAATCTCCTGCGGAATCACTATGTCGCGAAGCACGACCAGCCGCCTCATCAGTGAGTCTATTCGCATCGTTCGCTCGTGTTCTGTCGAGAAAGCATCCAGCTCATGGTCACGATCTATCAAAGGGACGCGTAGTGACTCTTCTCCTCCTACAGGATCACAGCGCAGTTTCCTTCAGTTGAAGCATTCGAGGCTTGGAAGGAAAGCGAAGAACAGACCGCCAACGCGAAGTTCGTCGTGAAAGACCGGCGGTCAGCCGGTCAGAAAGGTAGAACTCGCGTCATGTATTGGTGCCACAGGTAGGTTGCTTGAGACCGGTATCATCATGTAATGGAACATACGGAATATCCGATGCTGTCTCCTCCATTCAGGTTCGGCCGTAACACGACTTTCGTCATTTCGTCTGATCTAACCAGGCTCACTTGTTCAGATCTGGCAAGGCCGGCGAAACGAAGGATACACCGAGAGCCAAAACTCCGAGGAATGCCGCAAAATGCGGTGTCATCTGTACGGCCGCAATCAATATTTTCATCAACCCGAATGGAACCGTGAACATGACATATTTCCCCGAACACTGGGGTCACGATAGAGATGCCGAATACTTGTTCGTGACCAAAGAGCAACGGCAGGAAATCGCTCAGCAAATAATCGACGGCCTCTCACCTGAAGAGATTGTGAAGCATTGCCAGAATAGCGACAATATCAGGCTGAAAAAAGTCACTCGAAGCACCATCTATCGGGTCAGTCGTACTGTCGATGATTAGTGATCACTTATCGCATGAATATTTTTCCCGTGGAACGCGACCGTCTCTCGATCCGCAAAGATCTTGAATGTGACGACCCAATCGAGAGGAGCTCGCACGCGCAAGGCCCTCGTTTTCATGGAGGATTGTGATTCCAGATCTGTCGGGACTTCAAAATCGAGTGGATTTGGAGCAAGCAGGATGTCAAGATGGCAGGAGGAAACTCGCCTTCTGCTCGAGTCTTCGCAGAAGAAGAAACGAGCAGATCGGAAGACGATCTTGATAATGTCGGATTAGAGTGAGTTCTAGATTTCTCGATTCGTTTCGGACAGAGTATCAAATTTCCGGAACTTTCTTCGAACGTTTTCTTCGAAATCTGCAGCGAGATGGAAACCCTGGTGCCGAGTCAGAAGCAGGCTCTGGAATGCTTGAATCGGATCTCAACACTCATCGTGAACGGAGCCATGCTGACGAGTGATGATATGAGTCACCTGGAAACACTGAAGAACAAATTGAACGGCCAATTCACCAACCTTGAAGTACCGTCCGATTGCGTCATGATTCTGGACACCGCTCAGGTGAGGCGATCCGCGAAATGAGTGATTAAGAGAAATCTGAATGATACACCGTACATTCGATCCTCCTGCGTGCTCTGTCTCGAGCGCAGCCGATTCGCGACAAGGTGGAAACTCAGAGAGGCATTCCCATTCCAGACCTCTTCCCGCTCGCCCTCGAATACATCGCGGCATGCTCCGCGTGATCTCAACGTAGCGATTATCAACTATGATGGTACGTCGCTCTTCCTGCTGAAGACCTCGGCGAAAAATCCCCTTGAATGCCTGCCGTTCTCCCATGAGGGTTTCCCCGAAACCATCTCGATTGATCCTCACGGCTCGTCTCCCATGACGACTAATATTGGATTAAGGAACGCGAGGTCTTGATTGAGTTATAATATTCTAATGGTTGAATTTTGTGCTCTGCAGGCTGACTGTACCATGTGGAGGAGCCCTGGCTCATGGCCTACACTCGAGCGATTTGTGATATGTAAATAAAACCGTGCAATATTTCTCGACTTTGCTGGAATAGATGAAGTAGTGGAAGTTATTGCAGTCTCCGGATGAGGAAGAATTTTCGGGAGAGATCGAAAATCTTTGGGGAAGGATCGAAACCTCTCCAGCACCATGCTCCATATATGTCACGAATCGTCAGACGGAAGTTATTTTTCAGCCTGGTTTTCAGTCGTCCGAACTGTATGGTCGTGGCCTTTTCCTGACTGAGGACCTGCGCATGAGTAGTCTCGACAGAGTTACTCTATTACGGAGCATTCAGCCCACGATCAAAAAATTCCAGTCTGACGACTAAAGAGCCGCTCGTTCGATGCTGCCCTCGTCGGAGCTTCGGCAAATGCTCGAACGACCGTTCCCTCATTCGTCTCAGATCAAGATGAGACCGCAGAATCTCTGTATGAATGATCTCGCAATTAAATACCACGGCATTATCGAGAGTCGACGAGCCCAAATCGAGCTTCGATATTGCGGAGACCGATTGATTGTTGGGATACGGGCTTTCGTCAGAAAAGACAGTTCTTTTGTGGACGAATTGCTCTTGAGCATCAATCTGAATCATTGCGGTCGTCTTGAACACCCGAATCGGCGAGTAGCTTCTCTTCGGGGGGCCTGAGAATGACCTCATCTCCAAGGTGTAGATCATTCTAAGCGACCGCCTCGCAGTCCGAGCGCGCCTCACATTCGAGGTGTGTTCTAAGGGCTCCCAGAAACGGACGTCACCTATCCCGCGACTGTTTTTTCTTCTATGTCTCTAGAAACCAGTGATTCCACGGATCACTTCTGTTCACTCGAGCCCGGCAACGGGCCTTCGCGAGTGACGATTCCACCCTGTCTTAGTATAACCCCATGGGTGACCAAGCTGGATATGCGACAGACGCTCCCATTGTGGAAGATCAGGAGCTCGACTCGAGATTATCATCTTGGACCCATACATTCAGGATTTATTTTTTCCAAATCATCTCTCCTTAGGGGAATGAAACAGCTTGACCAACAGTGGAGCAGCGGAAGTTCCGCAGGAAATGTCTTCAGAACCAAAATGACGCCTAAGCACTACTGCTCACTTCGTTCGCCTGTTCAATGGGACACAATGCGCGGCAGACTCGCGGCCTCCGTTCGTCGTCGTTGTCGGATTTGCCTTCGGCAACGACAAGCTCCCAGTTCGGAAATCTTACGAGTCGTGAGAAACCGCTACCGAGCAGTTTTGACCGCCACCCGGGTAACATGCATGAATGATAGGAGGATAACTTTTTTGAGTTCTTGTTATCATTCATGCATGTTACCCGGGTGGCGGTCAAAACTGCTCGGTAGCGCTTTTGAGAACGAGGAGGACGCATAGAAAAATGGATCGATATGAAATAGGAACCCTTGCCGTCTACCATCTATACCGTCTATGCCATGGGATTTAGACACGCCGCGAAGCTCCATAGGTAGCAGCCAGTACGCAATCGAGTTCTGTGACTTAGCGGCTCATCACGAAGAAAGCGGGTCGCTCGGATCGTTTTGTTGCCTTTGCGAGGAAGGCCGCTACCTGTCTTTGTTGGGGTTCGCAGTCTCGATTCAGCCGGTGCGACCCCAGGGCTTTCACACGATCTCGAGAAAAAAAATCGGGGGCGGCCACTCGGTCAGCCAGCCAGTCAGTCAGTCAGTCAAACGGTTCCTTGGGGCATTTAAACCCGCTCGGAACTCCGATGAGTGTACATCTGCGCGACTCACTGAGAACTTCCTCAAAGGAAACTCCACCTAGGCAGGAGCTTCGGAGGTAGTGCGGCGGAATAAATGTCTTCCTTGACGGCGAATGCGGGATGCGGAGGCGCCGAGCGGATATTCGGGAGCTTCACGATTTGCCAGCCCGGACTGCGGAACGAGTACTGTGATTGTGCCGATCAAGCCGGACAAGGGAAGACGTGCGAATAGCGAAAAATCGCCTCACCCTTCGAAGGATCCGTCTCGCAACAATATGACGCCGGAAAGTCTAACCCACGAATGCCCTCAGGTTTAAAAGGGCGGCGGATGCCCCATCTGGTCGTTTGACCATATGGCGTTGACCCGACTTCGGTTTGACATGGCTCAGATGAGCTTTGTATTCCAAGAGATCCAAGAGATGTGTGCCCGAAGTGGCGTTGCCCGAGATTCCTCGAGTTTCCCTCGGGCGTCAGAAGTTCTTCTGTAGGTGGCTAACGAGTGGCTATGGCGAAGATACAAGTGAGCAGTCACCATTCGAGACGGAGTTCATTAGTCGGACATACAGCAAAAGTATCTGGTTCTGAGGAAATTTTGTCCTCGTTTGATGACACTTGTGGAACTTCCTCGCATTCCGTCTATTCGACAATCCAGATCATCAATAGGGGAAACTGCCACCACGGTTCCGATTGTACTCTTCCGTGTCCGCCTCGGATGTTTTTCCCCTGCTCGTGGGACTCTCTTACCGATGGTCGGCCCGATTCTCTCAGCCACATCTAAATCTCGCCGTCGAGCAGATCTCGTTGGAGCTTTATACATTAATACCTCGGTTCTGGAAATCATCGGTCAAAAGAACAAAGAGTTTGGAGGAGGGTCCACATCCAGCGATATTCCTCCGGGATTAGGACGAGGGAGGAAGTCAGCTACCTACTAGAATTCAACACGAGTGCTCACCCTCGGGGCTCGTTGAGATTCTTCCACCGCCACGGTGTCAATAGATCTTCTATTCGAGCATCGCCGTTCTGTCTTCGCATCTTACGAGTCGGATAATCGGAGGTTGGAATCTACTGCCCAGTATCCTCATCGATGAATCCTTTGTACAGAGCCCAACATTCGAACATAGAACTAAGAGAAGATTCTAGCTTTCAAACGTCCCTACGTTTGCATGGTGTTCATGATGAGTTCGTGACGTTATCGTGGACGACCTTCTAGACTGCGGAAAAAAATCAATTCCTATTCGTCAGGGGAGAATGAGCGATTCTCTGTTGAGAACAAGCAGCTGGGGCTGCTGAATTGTGTCACCCTTCCCAAAGTAGCTTGAGTCTCCGAACAGAGTCAACAAAGCAACTCTTAGCGCCAGATGGCATCATTGGGCATTCATGGGTCGCACTTGCCCCACGGGCTTTTGCTTCGAGCGGTGAAAACTCGAAGATACTTTGAAGCAAGCTACCGACGACGGATGCGAGGATCTATGTACATAGTTCCATAGAAGTTCCCCGAGAAGAACCACGCCATGAGCCCGGAAATACGAGTATCCATTTCTAGTGGCTCGGCTGTTTGCTCAGACGAAGCTGCGAGGGTATTTATCCCGATTGGAAAGACGATCTGTCCACTGCAACCCGTATTCCTTGTACTCGCATCCACGAGGCCGCACATGGGTGTACAGAAACAAATAGCACTCGACAAGATTCGCGACGCCGGCGATCGGAAAATAGCGTGACGCAGATAGGATCTCAAGCGAGAGGAACCCGAATGCAAATAGCGAATATTCCGGAACAATGTTGTTCTCCGAGAGTGGGATCGGTCTCTGCGATTGTGGCACTTTGGGCAAAGGCTTGTTGTCCCTCGTTATCCGGAGAGTTCAAGCAAGGGCGTATTCTTTCCTCCGGCGATCGAGTGGTCATAGCGTCCCTCTTGTTGATTACTAGCGGTTAATGCTCACTCAGCAACACGAAATCAGAAAGTCGCTCCACGGGGCGATTGCAATCATGCTTCCGCCCCTCGTGTCCGTTCTGCTCTGAGAGTTGCGGTTTGTTCAAACCCGGTCTAAGCATCCCGAAGCACCGGAGCCTCTTCAAACGGTTGCCCGCATGTTTTCCCGGAGGCGATATTCGTCGAGGGTCTGCCTCTGATGTATCGCAAGCACGGAAGCGGAGCTTCCGGGAATGAATTCGGGGAAGGACCGGGTACGACCGTCAGGTGGAAACAAACAAATTAGCACAAGAACTGGCAGGAGAACAGGAGAATTGGAGTTCTGCGGGCCCTACCTCCCCTTGCTCATCCGAGACCGCTCGTATACGGCGTATTCCAGTCTCTTCCACCGCGACGTTCCGTACGTCGGGCTCGATCTGAGCAAGCCAGAAATGTAGTCCTCCTCTCGCCGAATCGCTTCAGCGGTGTTTGAGATCCTAGAGAATTCCTTATAGTGTTATAAGCAGCTCTGAAGTACATGCTCGGATTTGGGGGCCGATCTTCTTGGAGAGGAATTCGCGGCCGCTTTGGCCCCCATTGCCCGCTGCCGAAATGTCGGAACACGCCATCCCGGCCCTGTGAGCGCCGGATCCCACTGCGCGCCTCCGCAAGCCCACCATGGCGCCTTGCACTTCATGGGCAAGCTCCAGGGCTACGAATAACTCGAGAGCAAGATCCTGGAACATCGTCGACAGTATTGCGGAACAGCTTTGTTGTCCTGGTTAATTCAGAGCGCAATCGAATTTTCAATCGGAACGAACCCTCAGACGCGAGTCACTCGAACGCAATTAGCAGTCGAGAGGAAGAAACTCGTCTCGACCTCCCAAACTTCAGCCAGCTGCCAGGTAGATCTTCAGCCACGCGAATCGGTCCACTTTTTGGCTCGGCGAATGTGAACTCCTCGATGCTGGATGCGCTCCGATGTCGCTTGCTCGAGTCGTTCGCACTGATAAATGTTTGAGTTAGGAGGTTTCAAATGGCTAATTGCGGAAGTTTGCGGGGGAGACATCAAGACAAACACACAAGTCGACCTCATGGCCTCGATTGCGAATATCGTATATCAACTTTTGAACAGTTGACACTCGCCCGCGTTCCAGATGAGCTGAAACGAACCTCGCTTCGAGGGACTGACCCCGATCGTTCGGGAGCTTCTACGAATCCCCATTCATGTTCATGCATACATTCATGTTTATTATTCTCCTAATCCACATCATTGTTCTCGTCCGATGGGGCGCTCTTCGGCACGGCCTGCGAAGGGTTGGGAGTACCG